GGACGCAAAATAAGGCAATTTGTTAATTCAGCAGTCAGATGAAACGGAGGCAAAATTGTCTCTCAGCAGCACCCTGGAGGGATCGCGGGCTGTCACTGTATCGTTCCTGGGGCTGGGATATACAAATGGGGAGAAAATAGGAACGCTGCACAAGATCCCATTTTGTTGTGGCTTTGTAGTTAAGATGTAGTGCTCTGCAGACCTAGCGGATGAGAGCTAGTCTGGGTAACGTCATTTGAAAATCAGAAGTAGCTTAAACAAGGTCAGTCCTGGTAAACTAATGTGGAGTTAGCAGAGCACATCTCCTGCATGACTGTGCTGCTGCTTGCTATTCCATCTTGCTCAAGTATATGCAACTCTGTGCTAAACATTAAACACTTATGCAAAAAGAGCAGCTCTACCTGCTGGTGCTTAACTTCACTGTGATGATAAGGTATCTGCAAGGTAGCTTAGGTGTCTCTTTACGTGGTTTCCTGTAGGCAGCACAGGACATTATTGTTGCTGTGACAGTACTTAAACATGCCCACCAGAACTCCTTTTCTATCTGCCCTTGCTGAGCTTTGTAACATCTGGCTATTTTATGTATGTTTGATTCCTTGAGTAAGTCAAGAAAATCTTGTGATAACTAATGTCAAATGCACATCTATGTCACGCTTTTTGTAGAGTCATGATCTCAGTGTCTCACCACACAGGTCATCTGTCAATTAAAAGCACAGGTTCTAGTTGAGGGCAAGGGATCAGCTAAATTTTATGATGAAAAATTCCTCAATTAAATAAGTTCTCTCTTATTGTGCTTTAGTATGTACATACCGTGGAACATGCTATATGCTTAGGTTGTGCCCCCCACACCTTACTATAGCTGGTCTCCCAACAAGTTGGATTATTTTATATAGCGATAGCTCTCCTTTTAGATCAAATTTTAGGACTGATATTTTCTTAAGACGTTATTTTATAAGTTAAGAGAAAAAGCAATTTGAAAGATGGAAGGTAGGAAAAGATTGGCAGTAATCAGGTTGTGTATTTGCTTTCAGAATAGTTTTGATTCTTGGGCATTTCATACCCATAATTCTTACATCTTAATGTTTAAGAAAATATGTTTTTTTAAAAAATAACACTTAAACAAGTATGTTAACGAAATCAAGTAGTATTCAATTAACTGAAGTAGGAGTGCCAAGATCAGTATACACCTGCAGGTGATTTTCTTGTATTTTCCTTTGCCATCTACAACAAAACAGAAAAGCAAAAATGTATATATGATGTCATGATTATGAAGTCATGGATTATATGGAATGCATGTTTTCTAAAACATTTAGCAAACACTGAAGAAATGGTAAATACAGGGAAGCTCTCAAGTAGTTCATATATTCTATAAAGATGAGGAAAGGTTGACTTTTATCCTCCCTTAAGCATTCAACTGGATTTCAAAGTCTTACAGCTCTTCTTTCAGACTGCTTAGACATTTTTGGGAGGAAAGTAAAACCAGTTCAGCCTTTCATTAAGGAAGGAAGTTTCACTTGTTGAGTCTTTAAACTGCTGAATGATGAACAGGGTGCACGATGGAACAGATCTCAAAATATCATACTCAGCATAAAGCATTGTTACATTTATTAATCGAGCTTGATTTTTTTCTATAAAATATATATCCCTGCTATATCATTAGTTTTTTATTAATAAAAAGGGTTTTTTATTATTAAACCAGTTATTTTTATTTCTTTCTTAATTTTTTTAACCATTTATACCATATTCATAATTTAGGGCAATAAGCTGATTTAAAAAAATGTTCTTTTGTTTAATCTTGAGAGAATCTAATTTTGGAAATATTGATAATAAAGGCTAGAGACAGCTCCAGAGAATAGAATAATCCAAGACCTCCAATCCCTTCTGCCTTTTCAGATACTGCATTGACTTTCAGGTATGTGAGAAGTCACTGTGGCCCACAGCAATCAGTAGGTAAGCAGTAGAACAAAACTTTGCACCAATTTCTGATCAGATTTTTCTCGGTTTCCAGATTGTTTACTGTCCTTTATCAATTCAAGTATTCTAATCAAAAGAAAAGGGTATTTAATACAAGAGCTCAATATCTTAGAAATTAATGTCAGGAAATGGATGCTCATAGTATCAAACTAAAGCAGGTGTTGGTTGGGTCTTAAATATTAGAAATAATGATTTTGTGACTGTAAGGAGATGTTTATCCTACAAGGGCTGTTTTAAAGGGCATCCAGTTGTGTTTGTTCATGAACATAAAAATACCGCATTGAGAGGTGGGGAGGAAAAGAAGGATATTAAAGTTACAATAGAGGTTTCGCATGTGTCTTGATCTTCACTGTTAGTGTCACAAATTCATTGAGTATGCATGATGTAATTTTTAACTTAGAGAAAAATTGGGTTTACTATAATCTCCTTGGTTGCTGTAGACCAAAATGTGAACACGATGTTAATAAGTGTTATGAAATCAATACAGTTACTAGAATCATCTTGTGTGGTTCAGTGGCCAGGCTCCTTTAAATCATTTGACATAAAATTGATTGGCACTGATATTTCTGATAATTATTATTTTAATTTTTGTTCCAGGAAAAATCATAAATTCAATATGGCACCCATTTTAGATTGGAAGAAGCTTATGAAAGTTGATCCAGATGCTCTGCCTCATCAAGAGGAACTAGCGGACAGATTGCTGGAGAACATATCCAAGGTACTCAAGGGGAAAACAGAATATAAGGGTTTTGGTATGCATTCTTGCCTAAACTTTCTCTGCTCTTTCACTTAAATAAAGGGTTTACTTTGTAGATTTCATTGATATTTGTATATAAGCCCTGTTGTCTCTTTTTGTAGGTTGATGGCAAAGACTTAAAAACTGAAACTCTGGAACAACTGATACACCTTTTTAAAATTACTCAGTCACTAATGAAGGTTTGCATTAATCCTCACTTTTTACAACTCTACAGATACATTTGGGTTTTTTTTGTTTAACTGAAAGCATCATTACTTTCTTTTTTTTTTTTTTTTTTTTTTTTCTTGCATTGAACACACTGGTTACTCCTAAGAATTTCTTCTTGTAGCTGTTGGGGTTATAGCATGTAGCAGTGGGAAGTGAATAGTATTAACATGGTTATATAGTTAAGGAACCTTAGTTTTATAGATGGAAAATACAAACAAATATCTCAAAAAATTGGTTAGATATTGTAAGTTATTGGTAATGATTTTAACTTCAGTAGAAGTTTTTGTGGTAGGTTGATGGTTTAGAGTAAATAAAAGTCACATGAATGAATACAGCTGTCCTAAAACTGATCCTATAAATCTATCATCCTTTCTTGAATTTACTCATAAATGTACTGAAAGGAAGAAATAACAGCAGCATGGGTTAGCACATTGGTTTTAGAGAGACTTTTTTAGTGTTTTTAATTCTCACTAGTATGCTTTTGAATGTTTACATAGCCCTGTAGAATAAATTACTAAAGAAGATATTTCAACAATCTGAACTTCTTGTCAAGAAATGGGAGTGGTGCTATGTTCTTTTGTAAATGTTTTCATCATTTTAAACATGAGGTCTATGGAACAATCTTTTAATTTATGTTAGCGGTAAATATTTCTTCTTTGCTTACTGTACATTTTTTTCCAGATGAAAACTCAAGAGGTAGAGCTGGCACTAGAAGAAGTCGAAAAAGCTGGGGAAGAGCAAGCCAGATGTGGTAAGTGAGCCTTTTTTATGCTGTTCCTGAAGGATTTGTTACAGGTATTTTTTCAGGGTTTTTTTGTGGGGGTTTTTTGTTTGGTTTTTTTTGAGTTCAGGGAAGTGAATAAACTACCAACTACTCTCAAGTCAATCACTTGAGCGAAGCCAGCTATTTAAAGACTAAGTTTAACCATTGTTTTATGTACTTTTTAGCTTGTTGAATAATTCACTGTATCTGTTCTATTTTAACAGAAAATCAATTTAAAACAAAGGTGATGAAACTTCAAAATGAATTAGAGGTATGTTTTAAAAAGTTTTCAGTTTATAGATTGCTCTTTGTTGGGGTTTTTTTAACGAGTTTTTTTAGGCTAGTATTTTAATCTGGTAAAGCGATGTAATAGCCCTACATTTTAGCTAGTACTTTTTATTGGCTTGAATAAATCCCATTTATTTTTAGAGATCTCTGGATTTTGTTGAAAGAAGCTAGTGAGCCCTTCCTGTTGCTTTTTCTGAACATTAGGAATGTTACTCTTAGCATCTGCTTTGTTTTTTTAGTTCTTTCTATTTTGAAGAACTGTGCTATATTTATAATGTTATTTTAATGCTCTTAAGATGGCACAAAGATCTGCTGGTGGTCGTGATACTCGGTTTTTGCGTGATGAGATCCACCAACTGGAAAAACAATTAGAACAAAAAGAGAGACAGTTAGCAGATCTAGAAAAAGAATTGGAAAAAGAGAAGAAAGTGAATGAACAGGTAAGGACTTCAGCTTGACACTTCTAAAAGCAGGTCTGGCACATCTTTTCAAAAGTGGATGTTCTGAAAAGAACCTCTGAAATTAAAAAAACACTGATGAAATAGGACCACTGTACTTTTGTTTTCTGTTTTGTTTCTGGAGTTCTTTGTTTTCGTAGTTTGTGGTGTTAGTGCTACATAATAAAGGTTTTCCGTCTTGTTCTAGCTTGCTCTTCGAAATGAAGATGCTGAAAATGAAAACATCAAATTAAGGAGAGAGGTTAGTAAGGAATTATTACCGATTTACTGTATTTTTAACTTTATTTATAAATATATTATTAACTTTCTGTATTTATAATCGTTGGTGTGGCATGATGTTTAATTCTGTTTTAGAACATTTCCTCGTTACTGGTACAAAGAGTATATGGAATTTTAATCACATTTAGCAAATATATGATATGTCTGCTCCAATGAAATTTAGTTAATGGAGGTCAGGAGGTGTCTACATTTGAATTTGCATAGTCCTACTGTGTATTAATTTTGTCTGGATTTTGTGTTTTGAATTTTTAGTGTTTTTCTTAAATACTACTGACAAATAGATTTGGTAGATATTAGACAGCATTTGGTTTATGCTTGCTGCTTTTGCTAAGATTGTCTGAAATAAAATTATAACAAGTCAAAAGTTAATATAATAATAAATGCAAAGGTAGAGTTAACATTCTTTATTACTGGAATTTTTTTTTAAATCATTCTCTTGAAACATTTTTTTCTAGCTATTTTTAGGGCGGGGGGGGGGAAGCATGTTTTATAGCATTTAATACCTGTAATCTTGGCCCCTGAGAGAATAAAACAGACAGCCAAAGTTAAATTAATGTCCTGGGGGGGGAACCTTGAGAATCATTCATCAAAATGCCTTTTTACATGTGTGTGTATATATGTACATGCATGCACAGGTATATAGAAAACTATTTTATTTTGTCTCTGTGTTGATTCCTGTTTAGTCTTCCTAAAGCAAAGATAATTTCTAATATTTTTCATGCGTCGTTCTCATGATCTTGTTCTCTCCTTTTTAATCTGAAGAAAAAACGCATAAAGAAAAAGGTGAGGCTTCTCAGTTTTTTCAAAGCAGACTGTAGGAATTTAGATAGATTTGGACTGTCTTACCTCTTTATGTTAGCTTACTAGAAAAACAACTGCTTTATCTTCAACTCTTCGAAATAGGTTTAAGTTTGGCTTGCTTTCTGTGCAGAATGAACAATTGCGTCAGGATGTAGTTGACTATCAGAGGCAAATAGATTCTCAAAAAGAAGCAATTCTATTACGAAGAGGAGAGGATTCTGATTACAGATCACAGTTGTCCAAAAAGAACTTTGAGCTTGTCCAGTATTTGGATGAAATTCAGGTAAAACCTTTGCATGCTATTGAGTATTTATTAGACTCTTACTGACAATAGTGTTTTTCACAAAGCTATGTCAATTTACAGATCAAGTCATGTGGAGTAAGGGAATTCATAATGCAGTTGGGTTCTGTGATGCATATACTCTGCCTCTGTGAATCTGTCAGAGGTAATGAAGTTACTGGCAATGGGAGATGTGTCTTTTATTTGCTGTTAGGATTTGTGGAAATTGATGATCTAGAGGTGAAATACTGTCTTGTGTGCTAATTTCATGTAAGACTTTCAAGTCTGACATTTAAGGTAGCTGTCAGTTAGTGCTTATTAAGGTGTTAAGGTGTGCACTTTTTAAAAGCAAGTTTTTCTTTAATTTTGCAGAATTTGACTGAAGCTAACGAGAAGTTAGACATTCAAAACCAAGAGATGAGGAAGAATCTTGAGGAATCAGTGCAAGAAATGGAGAAGATGACTGATGAATACAACAAAATGAAACTAATTGTGCAACAATCTGATATTGTTATGGATCAGTTAAGAAAAGAGAAAGAACAGTACAAATTTCAAGTAAGAACTGACTCATGTTATTGAATGTATTTTTTTAAGTTTATACTATTTTTGTCTTTTAGCTTAAATTAAAAAACATTCAACATATCCAGTTAAAAACACACGCTCTGCTGAAATAACACTCTCTAAAAGTAGTGTGATCTTTAAATTTGGTGCAAATTTTAAAACTTGACTGCAGATCACAAGGTTTTTTTTGTGCAAAATGTTAGTCATACTCTGTTCTTAAGAGTCATGACCTTCCCTTGCTGCTGTAATGCTAATCTGTTAAATTGTATGTGCATGATGTAGTGTGTTTGAACATATACATTTGTTAAGCAAAACATTTTTGTGATATGATGTTCATCCAAATGGCATTTCTAGGTTCAGGAGCTTGCAGACCAGCTGAAAGCAAAGAATGAGGAAGACGATCCACTCATGGCAGCTGTAAATGCAAAAGTTGAGGAATGGAAGGTACTTTTTAATATTTTTTTATTATTTTTAGGGATTGTTTCAAGTGTCCTGATGATATTTTATCTTCTTTTCAGAAAATCTTATCTTCAAAAGATGATGAACTCCTACAGTGTCAGCAAATGTTGTTTAACTTGAAAGAGAAAATGAAAATGGCCCAACTTGATGTAGACAGAAACAGTATACTGGCCCTTCAGCAGGTACAGTCTATGTGAGAAATTACCCACATAGAAATTACCATTCACTAAATATGCTAGTGACCAAATAATTATTTAGTCTTTCATAGTTTGCAAATACCACAATATGTATTATGTACATTTGAGAAATATGAGGCAAGTTGATTCATTCCAGTACAAAGTTAGCTGAATAGACAATGCACAAAGGAAACTTTTCTCTTGCTCTGCGTGTGTGAACAGAGCTCTTGGTAGCTGGTTCTGTTACTTTCCTATTTATGTCTTCTAACTATTGGCAGAGTGATTGCTTTAACATCTAAGCTTCCATAATTTAATGGTTTTTTAATTGTAGCGTAGTTTCTGTCCTCTAAGTTTGTTAGTTAAAGGAAGAGTCTTACCTGGCATTTAATTTTCCATTCCTTTCTGTCACCTGATACCATACTATTAAGTCTGTGGTTCAGCCCATGATAGAGCTAGCTGAAATTAAGTATCTCATATTCATGCAAAATTGCATAGTTCTTTATAATTTTGAATTTCCTCACTTTCTTGAAAAACGTAAAAAGAATAAAAAAATACATAACACAGCCCATTAGGAACCCTGAAATATACATTATGGAGAGCATACTGTATGATACCAGGATGATTTTCTGCCTTGCTTCAAGTTTTTTAAATAAATAATGTCATCACATTTGTGTTACATATTGGGGCCTTGTAGACTGAGCAGTATGGTGAGATATATTTATGCAGTCTTTCAAAACTAGGAACAGATAACTTCTCAGGAGGAAAAAACCTTAAGTACAAATCAGCCTTTGATGATCAGAAGAGGAAGGCAGCTGAAAGTAACTCTGATAAGCAGTTGAAGAGTTTGGTTTTAGTTGACTAGATGGCTGTAGAGGTTGCTTTTATGGATGACTGTCATTAACATGACATTTTGAACAGTTTTGTTGAAATAAGCATATTTTTAAAGCAGATACTTTAGAATTAAATCAAGTTGTTGCACTGAAAATGGACTGAGCATGTTATGATTCGGTGTATGTTTACATTCTAAAGGGTTATGTTTAGCTCCTTTCAACTTTGCTAACTCTTTAGCTTTGAAATGTGGTTATATTTGTCCTCTAAGAAAGTCTGAGCTTTTGTTTTTCGTAACATTAGTGTAAAGTAAGGTTGGCAACTCTTGAGATTTTTACATTATAATTTCTTTCTGTAACTTTTTTCCAAGTCTCTTTTTTAATCTTTGTCTTCATTTTTCATTTATCACAGAAAAAATAGCATTAAGCTCTCTGTGATATTTCTAAAGTTCATGTATAAGTGCAGAAAATAGTATAATATAAATAGAAGTCACTTTCAGAGTCTCTGTGTACTTATAGATGTATATGCATGCAAAACAAGGTGTAACATGGATTTTTAAAAGTTGGATGACTTACTGAAAGGCAGTCTGCAATACAGGTGTCATGTATGATGGATTGTTAGTCCTCCCAATCTTGAACTTTTATCTCTTGGTTTCCACTGGCAATTGTTTGAGGAAGCTGTAAAAAATCTGTATTGTCTGAAACTTTTCATCATACATTGGCTAACTCTTAGAGAACTGTTCCATTTAAAACTGATGTACTAAAATACTGCTTTTATTTTTTGTGTGCATTTGAATGCTTTATTTTTACTCTTTCTTTTATTTTTCCTGCTTTGCCTTTATATACCCAACTTCTAGATAATATCTGATCTCTATGTTGTAAGTATAGTATATTTGATGTTCTAGAAATTGTTTTGTATTAGCTACTTTTAATTTCTTCATTTACTTTGTGGTGGTCTGTATTGGTAGCTTGCCTGTCAGTAAAGAAAAATTCTTTAATGGAGTTTCTCTTTTTGGTGTGTGTAGGGTGTGCAAGAGCGAGATGCTCAGATAAGATTGCTTACTGAGCAAGTTGAACAGTATACCAAAGAAATGGAACAAAATGCATTTGTTATTGAGGAATTAAAAAATGATCTCCAAAAAGATAAAGGTAACATGACCATTTTATTTTAATATCTATGGAAAGGAAAATAAAAACCCACAAATTTACTGTGCATTCTTTATTCTCTAGAAATACAGAAAAAAAATATTTGCAGTATTTGAGTAATATTATTCTCTAATTTTCTTGTTTAATTCCATTTATAAAACAATCGTGAAGAGTTTAAATTTATTCACAGTAGTCCAGTGGGTTTTATAGGTATTACAGTGCCTAATAAAACTGTACGTGGTCTGTAAAGGTTACAGCATAACATGTAAGGTCTCAGCTTTGTCCAGAATTGCAAATGAGAAGTAGCATGCAATTACAAATAAATTCTGATGTCCCTTATGCACACTTACTTCTTATAAATATTGTTTGAATGAACAATTAGGAAAAAAAAAAAGCTCTCATATGTAGTCTTTTGCAATTAATTAAAAAGAGCAGAAAATCAAGATCTCCTTCATAACATCATCTGAAGTGTTTCTGTCTTGCTTAATGGCTGATAGCAAGAATTCGTAGTTGAACTGTAAACAGATCAAGGTTTTTCTTTCCAGGTCACTCATCTCTTGCTCAGCAGAATCGTATTGGCGATATGCAAGAAAAGTTAAAAGTGCTAGAAGAGAGAACTAAGGAGGCTGAGAAATCAGTGGAATTAGCAGAAGCAGATGCTAGAGAAAAGGACAAAGAGCTCGTTGAGGCTCTGAAACGAATGAGAGACTATGAAATGGTAAACAGTTTGTCAGAGTGGGCAGGGTATTTCATCATATTTTTAGGAGATCATTTTGTCCTTCTATTTTTTTATTGACTGTGTTCTAATTAGAAATTAAATTAATTACTTCTGACATCCTCTCCTCTCCTCAAACAACATTTAGTGGTCATTGACTGTATGCAGTTTGTTAGCCATACTTATTTTTTACAAGTTGTCGGTTTTAACATATTCATATGGACTTCTGAAGTCCATTGAACAGTAATTGAGCACTCAAGATATGATTCTTTGAAGGATCATGTAGTAAGAGGACTCAATTTTGAAATATACAGAGACTCCTCTGTAGTCAAAAGACAAATTTGTAGGATCTCGTTTTTATTCAGTAACTTTTTTCCCTAAACATAGTGCGGAAGAGTGACACAGGTTGGAAAACATTTTTTTCTTATCTGTGTAATGATGAAACTCAGATTCATCATTAATTTTCTTACATCTTCTGTTGGTTGGTTTTACTTTCCATTTGGGTTTTTACAGGGGATATATGGTTTGGAAGAGGCTGTTGCTGAAATAAAAGATTTTAAAAATCAAATCAAAATACGAGATCATGAGATTGAAACATTAGTTAAGGAAGTCAATAAACTTGAACTTAAAATAAATGATTTTCTTGATGAAAATGAAGAACTCCGAGAGCGATTAGGTATGCTATATCCATTATGTTTTCAATTATGTATTGTGTAAGAATTGAAATAACATTATATCATGGAAATCTTTTATTATACCAAGTAACTACTTGGAAATAATTTTGTATATTCTGCTAATATTTGCATATTCTGCAAATATTTTGTATATTCTGCTAATATTTGTTATTTAGGACAAACTGCATTAATGTGACTGAACATGAATGTACATGACTAAACTTGGCTTACAGGTTGCTTTGAGTGAAGGAGAATAGATTTTGTTGTGCTTTTTTGGTTTTGATTCCTCTTTGACTGTACACTGCTTAATTAATTTCATAATATGGTATTTGGAAACCATAACATACTGAAGTTGTAATGCTAGATTGGAAAACATAGAGAAAACTTTGGACAGGCTTATTTTTACATAGAAGATGCTAAACGTAAATATAGTTAATTTTAGGTGGCATTTTATTGCATTTTGGTTTTTGAGTAATGCAGTAAAATTATGCTTTCTTCTGGTGTTACTACATGGAGCATAAAATGTGTGTACATATATAGAAATATATATATTCAACTATCAACATATTTTAATTTTTTAATTCTATTTGACTAGTTATGTTCTGATTTAAATTAACTGCATTCTAATGATTGCTAACATTAATGTTCCTGCTTAACAAATAATTATACAGCATATACTGTGTTTTAGGTCTTGAGCCAAAGACAATGATTGACTTAAATGAATTCAGAAACAGCAAAGCACTGAAGAAGCAGCAATATAGAGTTGAAAACCAGATTCTTTTGCAAGAGGCAAGTGATAAATCCTATCTTTGTGTAAGTCCTACATAATAAAAATGTATTTGAACAAAATGAAATACTGATCTGTGAATAACAATATGCAGATTGAAAGACTTGAAGAGGAAAGGATTGAACTGAAAAAACAGGTTCGTAGGTTGGCTCAGGAGAAAGGAAGAAGAGTTGCAACAATAGGTGGGAATTTTTTTTCTATTATAAACTTATTTCAAAAACATAGTGTCTATACTTATTAATACAGCTATGTAATATTTACTCATTTGTTTACATTACAAGGCTAAACGCATTTCATTGAATGTAGGAAGAGGTTTTACATTTCCATGGTCTTACAGCCGAGTAGCTTTTCGACTTACAATGGCTAGAAATGCGTCACTGAGAATAGTGTCATTGGCTTGCAATTCTTAGACGCAGGATGATCTCGCCACGATTTTCAGTAAATCTGTATAATGTATGTGTTTCAAAAATGTTAAAATTTCAATTCTGTGTTAACCAGGGAAGCATAATGTGCTCAGATGGAAAGTTATACAGCTCCTTACTTTGCAGGTAGAAAACTAGAACTCAGACATACTAAATGAAATATATCCCCTTAGTTGGAGACCAATTAAAAATTGATAATAATTTATTACTTGTATGTTTACTGGCAATTAGGACTGGATGCTGATGATATGCAGATAACTGATAGCTTTTCTGAAGAGAAGGGAATGCATAAGAGGAAGTTGGATTTCTTGAACAGACATGATATTGCTGAACTAAAAGCAAAGGTAGGTTCATAAAACAGATTCATAAACATTTATTATATTTCTCTTTCAAAATAAAAATAATGTTATTTTGTAAATGTTCAAATATTACTCTAGGTGCTTTTATTAACTGCTTTTAAAAATTAAAACAATAATTTGTAATATTTTAGAAGACTAATGAATATTCTATATTTTTTGTGAATATAGGCTAGCAGCTTGTGTAACATGGAAGGGAGAAACACACATGTAAATAGAGAAGCACCAGTTAGACTTCTGAAGTCAGAGAAAGATATAGCTGAAAACAGTAAGGCTGTGGGAAATCTACCTAGAAGAACTTCTGACATCCTTGAGAATTTAGATCACTTGGAAAAAAAATAGAAATACTTCTTCGGTTCATTTAGGTTCAAAACATGTGACAGAGTGGCATCTAGTTAATGACAACTGTAATTCTGAAGCTGTTAGTATAAAAGAGCTTTTTGTATCACCAGAGCTACAATTTACACAGACATCAGGGATAACAGATTATACAGACAACAGAGAGATGTCAAAAGACTTAAAATCAGACTATGCAAGTTCGTTTTCTGCTTGTCAGCGTGTCAGACCTCAGAGGTAAATAACCGAAATTACAGAAACAAACCATCTTTTCAGAATCAAGTGTCCGTAACTTCTAATTCAGACCAAACAGGTCAGGAAAATTTTCACCCAGGACTATCTCTCAGCAAAAACTCTCTGATTCCTTTTGCATCTGCTCTTGGAAAGCCAGTAATGCACAAAACACCAATAATGATGTTGAAGAAGCAAGACTATTTGCAAGTAAAGCTTTCTGATTTAACTTCCTTTCAGGAAGACAGAGAAGGAAAGAAATACTTATCAGAATTGTTGCAAGTAAAAACTTTGGAAAGTGGACTTGAAAATGGGCAATCAGAACACTCAGGTCAGGTAGATCCTATTGAAAATCTCATAGAGCAATTGAGGAGAGAATTAGCCCCTCTTAGATCACAAGTGAGACACCTTTATACTATGTATATGTTTATTGCAGTTATTTAGAAGATAAATTCAAATAATAAAGATGTGTTAGTTTACTTTCATCTTTATTAATTAAAGCTATAGGATAGTTCTAATAGAATTGGGCATTTTTTCTTCTAGTAAAAAAAATGTCAAGTTATTAATTTGCAGTTTATTTGTTGACATAGGACTGAAAAATGTAGGCATATATTCTGTCAGTGGAAAAAGTTTACACAACACCTGTGCACATGCAGATAGATGGGTACAAAGAGAGAAGTTTTTATTCTAAGACTGTACAAATGTCTATGTAAATAAAGTACTCATCACTTTTCTTATTAGTGCATACAGCCTTGCATCTCATACAAATAAATTGTTGCAACTGTATTTTAAACAACATAGTTTGAGGATTATTTTTAAAAATTGTTTTAAATAAATACAGAGAAATACACATGGTATTTTACGAGTGTAATATACTGAATCAGTCCTTTGGTATGAAGGATAGAAGATGAAGATTTCTGTTAAAAGATGTAGATGTTATTTGTCTAGAGGAGGTCTCCTGCTTCCAGAGAGAATAGATGGTGTAAAGTTAGACTTTTGGAATGAGAAAGGCCTTTCCTTCTGGGAAACACCTAAGAAGTTCCTGAGGTGGTTCTTCTATCCTTTTATTCATTTCCCTGCCAACTGACAAAGACAATGTGTATCTGTTTTCAGAAAAAAAGATCTCCAATGACAAATTCCATTATTTATTAAAATTATCTCTAATGATAAAATCTTTTAGGTTCTCAAAAGGGTTTTTGCAGATTTTTTATAATCAGTGAAAGAACGAGTTGATTTACAAAAAATTATTCACTGGTAACTTCCTAAATTGGTACCTGATGTTGGTTTTCTGTATAGTGGAGGACATTGCTTTGGTTACTAGAAATATGTTTGGGGCATGGATCCAGCCAATCTCTCAGAGTCTCACAGACTTCTGATCTGTATAGCAGACTGTTCCAGCTGCTGCATGAGCCAAGAATACATGTTTACCCAAACAGCGTTATATGGGATATATCTTGTCTAATTCTTCCAGTGAATCCATCTCTGTTGCCATTGCATTTCAGGCAGGAGATTCATATGTGTACTGGGAAATTTTCATGAAGGCATGCTCCAAATTTGAAAAAAAGGCTGGGACTAGAACATTAGATTGCTAAAATTAGAATCTGTATATTTTTTGTCTGGGAGAAACCATCTAAGAATATGATAGGGAAACATCATGGTTACAATGTATAAGATAAGCAAATAGATCTTTCTTGTCTTTAGCTGAAATGTCTGGAACTGACAACATTTGTGTTGAACCCATTGAGCTATGTAATTGATCAATGGAAAGTATAAGTCTTATACATCAGGCTTTTTTCAATTATACAACATTTTTTTCCATGCTACAGGAGTATACTTTACTTTTGTGATTTCTCTTAAAATACCGTGTTAGCCAAGCTGTGGAATGAATAATGCCTATTAATTGCATTTTCAGTAGAAAAGAAACGGGTTTTTTATATTTTGGAAGATAAATCTTGGAAATACAATTTTTTGTATATAAGTGGAGATAGAATCCTATACTAATAACTTACTGTTACGGCCTTTTTAGAATGAGCAGGTATCCAGAGGTTTGTTGATCAAGAGTATGCTAAATAGTTATACAGAATTAAATCTTGAAAGATGCAGAAGCCAGGCAGTGCAGGTAGTACAAGATTTAAAACAAAACCAACAAAAAACCCCAGGATAAATATTTATATAAAGTTTATTCATGGTTTAAGTATTCTTTTCCTGATAATTTTGTTGCTGTGAAGATGAGGCTATTTCTTTGATTGCTGCCTTCTGTATAACACCTCATTTTGGTTTACATACTATGTAGTTTCACTGTTGGATATATATGGATTAGCAGTATTTTCAAGCCTTTATTCTTATTTAACCACAGAGTCTTAAAGAAAATTCTAATACTAAAATTCCTACATGACAGGTTTTGAGTCTTCTTTGTTCTTTTCTTTAGAATGAGTATCTTGCCAATGAATTAAGTGTGAGAGAGAGAGATTTGGAGAAGAACAGGACTGTAATAGCCAAATTTCGATCTAAACGTAAGTTGCAACCTGTTTTAAAATGAGGGAATATTATCAGGTACCTGCAGATAATTTGCTTATTTAGTTGTTCTGGTTTTGTGGTTATGACCACAAATACCTGTCTTTACAGTTTCTGTTTTAAATGTGGTTTCATAATGATTGAATTAGTTGTGTACATAGAAGGTTATTATACAATTATTCTGGTATACTTCTCAACTGTGGAAGTCATGGTTGTGAACTAGTCCAGGTGTGAACACAATGATTACAAAACAATGAATATAAATGGCATTTATTGAATTGGAATTTCTTTGAATTCTCATTAATGATTTTTATTAAAATTTTATGTTTCTATTAGTGTATATCTTTGTGTGTGTATAAATACACAGAGTGTTGCTAATTTTAAACTTAAATTAGTGATAGTACATGAAACATAGTTTATTCATACTATATACGTTAAAATAGGATCTCTCATGTTTTTCCTTCCTGAATCAGACCCAATAAGGGCTTTAAGTCTGTGAGTGATCCCAATTATAATAATTATACAATTTACTTGTGTAATTATAGTGCTTTCCTGGCTCCAAGGAAGTGTTGGGGAATTAAACCCACTTGTTGCTTACATATATATGTATGTTAGCTGAAGTGGACTGCTTGCAAACTCAGAAATAAAAATAATGCTAATTTCTATAGATGGGAATCTTAATTTTTTTGCAGACAATGCGAATTCTAAAAATTCTTCTTGACTTTTCAAAATAGACTTGGTGAAACTGCTCAAACTGCTCCAAATTTTCCAGTTCACTCCTGGATTTTCAGGACAGTTAGCCATATTGTTAAGATCAGAGAATGTCCTGACAGGTTTGTTGGTTTTTTTTAAAGTTTCCAGACTTCTTGCTCTGTGCTGGAAACTCTGGAATTCCACTGAGAGACTAATGGTGGCAGGAAAACTGTATGTCTTGAGACTCCTTATTATGGTCAAATAATTTAAATGTTCTTTTTTCTCAGTCTGCAGCAAGGAATTCAGGCAATTCCTATATACTTCATTGTTACACCCAAACCCTTCCAAGATAGCCACATTTCTGGATTTATGAAAGCCAGTCAGACAGGCTATACTAACGAAGTGAAAAAAGTGGCAGGAGACATTTAAGACTGGGAGGTTCAAATAAGTCAAATGTGTTCCTATGAAGCATTTCATTATTGTTTTGTTGGTATTTCTCCAGCAAAATACGCTCTCAGGATGTTCCTAGCAGCTCTGCTTTTAACTTCCTAACTGGTTATGTCTGTATGTAATATGAACATGCTTTTTATATGTCAAATCAACAAGTATTATGATGAAATGTCCTAGGAAACCTTAACTCATTTTTTAAGTGCTTTTAGACACATTTACAATTTATATTACAGTAAAAGAATTATCAGAAGAGAATAAACAACTTGAACAAGGAATGAAAGAAATATTGCAAGCTGTCAAGGAAATGCAGAAGGATCCTAGTGGGAAGGGAGGAGAAACAGCCTTAATAATCCCTAGCCTGGATCGTTTAGTTAATGTAAGCTTTCTTTCTAAAGTATTATTTAGCTTTATAGGATTTATAGCCTTTTTTCCCCTCAATTATTGAGTTGTATAATTAAATAATAGCTTCCTTATACATATGCTTCCTTAGTTATGAGTACGTAGTTTGATATGTCTTTAAAAATGCAAATTAAAAATATACAACTACAAGAAATTGCCAATAAAAATTAAAAAAAAAAATCTTCAGTCAGATAGTATAAAACTGTCTTTGGCAAGTTTATTGTCCCAGTCATAAAGCTTAGGTAGAAGTTTATTTGCATGTCTGTTATCTCTATGGAACCTGCAGGATATGTTTAAGAAAAGTTCTTTATTCAAACATCTTACCAAAGAAGTTAGGTTTTTTACAGGAAAATTTAACCATTGAAATGTAAACAGTCTATGGCAAATACAGCATCAGGAAACTGATCAGTAGATTTAAAATGTTAAATTTTCATGCTTTTTGCTAATTTCTTGTAGTCTAAACTTGAGGCCTGCATTTTATTATGAAAGAAACAAACCTTTTCTGCACTTTTTTCTGTTTTGTTAAATGTTCACTGCATTAGGCAATGGAATCAAAGAATTCAGAAGGAATCTTTGATGCTAGTGTGCACTTGAAAGCTCAGGTTGACCAGCTTACAGGACGAAATGAAGAATTAAGACAGGAACTGAAAGAGACTCAGAAGGAGGCAACAAATTTCTCTAGTCAGCTGGCAAATGCAAATGAAAAGGTATACAATTTATTTTATACAATTTATTTTGTACTTGAAAAATGGCTGCTCTGATAATTTAGAACAAAACCACACAATGTATAAGATGCTCAATTTAGTCTATGTGAACAGTGTAATTATACAAATCTTAATTAAATTTATGTATTGGGTCTACCAATTTGTCCATTTTAAGTTCAAGTCTTACTTTTCTATAATGTTACTTTATCATTCAAATACCCTATCATGTTGAACACGAAGCATGCCTATCTTTTGGTGAGAGCTGTGCCCAAAAAACCTCGCAGATTTCTTTCTTCAAAAAGCCAGTAGTAGTCTTGCATTTGTTATTTATGAGTAACAGATTAAGTGTTCTAAAATGATGAATTGTTCTCTAAAATCCTGTATCTTGTTTTAAGTTTTACAGTTGGTTCTGAGGAGTGCTTCTTCCAGGTCAGGAATGAGGAATGGAATATTAGCTTACAAGAAGCCAAATTAAAATTTGCCTTTTAGAACAGCTTTAGTGATGCAAAAAGATTTGCTAGTAACTAATATTTTAGAAGAGTGATTTATGTACTGTTAGAGTAGAGAACCAGAGAGCTTTTAAGATGTTAAACGAAAAGGCAAAGATTTGTTTGGAATAAACCATCAAATAACCACTGCAGTAATTCTATCCAAAATTTCATCTTTTTAAATGGAATAGAAATGCACTGTGTTTTAAACCATTTGGAATAAACCTGTGGTGAATCCTCAGATATGTGAAGCTGCCCTGATTGTTGGAGTCATTTGATAAATTTGGCTTAAGATATGCATTTAATGACTTAGGGAATCACAGCATTTTTTAAAAGGTTAATTTAAAGAGTGTTTGAATGCATTAGAATATAAGTGGAAGTGAATTAGGTTGTTAATAACAACTGATGTAGCACAGGAAAACAATATATTTCCATTAGTGATTTTTTTTTTTAATTGAATAGCAAGAGCTACTTCTTTATGTTTTTGTTTCTTTTCTTTAGATTGCACAACTGAAAAATGAAATTTGCTTATTACGTCATTCAGAAGGTGCCAATACTGTCTTCCGAACAGTGAATCTTCCAGAAGGAATGGTTCCTTCCAGTGTTAATGTGATTAATTCTTTGAATGAATATTTAATACACCTTTTACAGGTAACTTATTTACTCCTTGATATCAAGAATATTTGTACCATATAGCTAATTCCTCCAAAATCTAGTATGATGCCATGTATGGACATGGGAGAACTCTCCAAAACTATTTTGAAGTTCTGACATCCAGTAAACTCTGTGGGCTGGTTTTTTTGTTGTTTTTTTTTAAGCTCTAAGTATTTTGCTGTGTTTTAAACCTGGAAGCTAATAATTAAGTTTTCGACAACAATTCAGATTTTTTTTTTGTTTAAATCTGAATTTTGATCTAAATATTTGCCCACTCTTCCTTCTACTTCCGCAGTTGCACTCTTTCTATGAGAAATTCTCTCTATACTGCTGTCTGGATTCCACACCTGGGTCTGCATGTGCAAATCCTACTCTGAACAGTTTTTCTCTATGCAGCAAAGGTCTCTATTTATTTACCATATGAATTTCCATTCCATTATTTGTCAAAAATATATCAACATTTGTAAAGAGGCATAAATACATTGAAACCAAAGCCAGTGATTTCCATGGGATGCATAGCAGACAAGCATATAAAGAAGAATCGATTCTTTGAGAATTGGAGTAAAAAGAACTTACCTTTTTATTATTATTAAATTATTTTTTTCTGTCTTTCTTCACTTTACTTTTGTTGATTAGAGAATATTTTTCAACTGTATATGATTATAAAGTAGAACAGTATTTGGGAACGTGAGAAGAAATCATCGTTTTCCAGTTAGACGTTCAATTAGTATTCTTTGTGGGCTAGCAACGTGTCATGGTGTTTTGAACTTTGAGGGCTGTAATCCACAGTGCAATTATGCACTATTTCACACCTATTAATATAAATGCTAAAGATTATTGGACTTTTTTCCATCTGTTGCTTCTAAGGAAAAGACACATTTCATATCTGCAGTTCACACAGTTTATGACAGAAGCATCTATCATAAAAGATGCAAGGGAGAACTGGCATTTTGATTGATCCTTTCATGTTTAAAGCCTATATTAATCACTTCAATATTTTTATTTGGAAAATAATTATTAGGAACTGGAAAATAAAGAACAGTTACTTAAACAATTAGAAGATGCAGTAGAGGACTACAAGCGAAAATTTGCAGTAATTCGTCATCAACAAGGCTTGCTGTATAAAGAATATCAAAGGTATTGTTCTCTTTTCTGAATTACGAAAGTTCAACTATCTAAATGTTTAATAATTTTGAATACAAGATTTGCTGCTCTGTTGAAGTAGTTCTTTGGTTAATGTAATAAATGCTGCTGCTGTTGGATGTGGACTCCATATATTTTCTTTAGTCCTGTAAAGATTCAGAAAACTCTGACAAAAACATTTTCTGCTGGACTCTTTTCATATTGCATACTTTATAATGAAGATTGAATTGTGCTTTCTACATCCAATATCTTGTATTTTTCTTAGAACCTGGTATTATGGACTCGTACAATCTCATTTTCTTTTGCTTTCAAGTATGGGTCCTAACAGTTTTTCTGAGGGGAGAAAAAAGAAACCTGTATCCAAATACAGAGATCTCTGTTTCAATATTTCATATTGTCAAGACTTCAGAGTTGGTTCACTTTCAGACTCTTAGTTCCTTTATATGCTTCATTGAATCTAATTTCTATAAAATTATTCTTATGGTCAAAAAAAATTATCACTTAGAAGCATAGGGATAAATCTGATGATTTTGGGTTCTTCAATTAACAGACTTTTAGTTATGTCCTCTCTGTCTTTGGATTGGAATGAACAGTCACTGGACAGGTTTTGGAATAATGGTGTTTTATCTTTTAGGACCTTCTATTTGTTCTTTAATCAGTTAAGACTTCCCAGATAACATTATCTCTGAGGCATTAAAGCTATAGCTTTTTGAAAATATTAAAGGTTATAATATACTGTCTCATTTACTACTAGAGTAGGTATCTCCAATGACAGGGATAAAATGATGATTCAAGGCTCCTTCTCCATACTTGTTACAGATTGAAGTTAGGGGAGGCAATTCTTTGACATCCTGTAAAGACTCTCTTTAAGAGCATTTTTTTTCTTTTTCCTCCATTTTCATCCATTATGGAAGAAGCTAAGACATCTTCGAAGAGAAAATACTACTTCTGAAATACCCTTGGTTATTTGTTTAAACTAGCCTAAACTATCCTATACAGTCTATAGGAACTTACTTATTAGACATGTATAAACAGTTCATAATCTTTTTTGTTTCCAAATAAATAAATAAAAGTGGATAGAGGAGAGTAGTTTGGGCGAAAATGAAGCTGAATCTTTTTATGTTTTTGTTTGGTTTTCACTGAAGTAGAAAAATTAGGGTGGGAAATTAGGTCCTTTATGCATGTGAAATAAAATGAAGGTAATCGAAGGAAAGATTTGCAAAACCATTGAAAAAATTGAGTTAATATTACAACCATTGCCTGCCCTTTTGTTTAGAAGTCTGACCTCTAATACAGAATTTGAATATGGGAAACCTAAGCTTAATTCTGTCCACTTCCTGAGGGAAATTTGAACCAACTTTTTTTAAAGAAAAAGCCAACTACTGTGCTGTGGGGAATTCTCAGAAGATGAGCGAGTAATGTTTTCCTTATGATACTATACCATTCTGTATGATTAATTAAAAATACTTCACAATCAACTTAGGTTTCCTGTCTGTCAGGAACTGCGGAAGCCTTGTTCCCCTTGCAAGTTGTCCCTCTTAACTGATGAACGTGCAAGTACTTCATGCAAAAGAGACCGTTATAGAAAGAGTCATTGATTATTTGCCAAACCATTTTATCTACCTGTAAATCTCATCAGCCAAATTATTGGGCACAATTTTGAATACCTGTAGAAATCTGCTGGCCCTAGTCTCCTTAAAAAAAAAAAAAAAAGGCCCGTTTCCAGGCTTACAGCATGGTAATTGCCAGTAGTATGATTTTTATCTCCCTTCCTATAACAGGGAGACCTGGAGTTTCCAAGAGGTACTTAATGTGGAAATGTTTTTATTTGCAAAGTTTTAAACTTTGCCTATTTTTACGAAGACACGTGCAAGAAAGTAATTAATTTGAAATACAAGTGTGTGATTTAAAGCAGATTAAATCCCATGTGTGTATATTTTGGGGAGTAAAGCATTTCTATCTTTTGCACTGTAGTACACATGTGAAGAAGAGATAAGACACTTTATCTTAAGAATTATTTTCCTCATTAAGCCAGCTGCAGCCTAAACAGAGGGGATAGTTTTTCAGTAATGCATCTGCAATTTATAATGTCTTTTTCAAATTACGTTACTGCTAAAAATAAGTATCTTGGTTTGCAGTACTTCAGAGTTGCTGTTGTAGTTACAGTTTTAAAAATCATCAAGTCTTTCACGATTCTAAATGAAAGTACTTAATTACTGTTTTAGTCAAAAGGAAAGCTGGCAGAAAGAATCAGAAGATATGAAAGAGGAAAAGAAAAAGCTAGAAGAGCAAAAAGAACAGGATGCTACAAAAATAAAGGCATATTCTGTAAGTAATTTTGTTGCTTTAATTTTTCAAGAAGGCTTTAATACATAGAACAGAGGTTTTAATACAATACTGCAATTTGTTAGATTGGGAAAATGTTGCAGGGAAAAACTGCTCAGTTCAAATCAAATTAGAAGGGCAGTGGTTTATTGATTTATTACTGGAATGTAAATAACTGGCAATCAGTAAACTGTACATTCAGAATCAGTATCAACAATACAAAAGGTAAATCACAATATTAAGACAAATAGAAAATGTTACTATAGACCTAAAAATCTCTAAGCATTATTCAGGAATTAATCTCAAATATTTCTCATCTCACACATCCACATTCACACAGTTAGATTCACTCCTTGACCCCTTCAGGTTACCAGCACATACACCCTTTCCTGATGGTGCAAGTTCACTGTGTACACACACCGCTTACATTTACTCCAGGGTTCTGTGTACCCGTGGGTGTGATCTGGTGTTATGTGTACCCGTGCACCTCTCTGCAGCCTGCTAATCCATGCACTGGTGAGGAATCACCCCAGGAGGTCACATACACACACCCAAGTATGGGTCCCTATGTGTTGCACTTGTACTGCCAGTCCGTTAGCTGGAGTGCCAAGGCTCATGGTGTCCAGCAGGCAGGAAGCACTCACATCTCTACAGAGGATGCAGGGACAGTGGGCAAACTTCTGAAGCTGAACTAGGTTATGAGTGCCGCATTACAACTCTCTCTGCCCCCACTGTTAAACGTTTTCATGCTTTCGTACTAATTTTCAAGGTCACTAATTCTTAATTTCAGGTCTCTAATTTTATGATTACTATTCAATCGGGTTGATGGCCATCTTCCTCTTTAACATTATCAGTTTTGAGCAAATGCCCTCTCAAGTCAGTCTCAGGTGTTCTGTTCACACACACTATTAACACTCACACTGCTCTCTTAGCAGCAGTTGTTAACCAGGCTGTTTGATTGGGAGGAGGAGCTATGTAGGCACCTCCATGGAAAACACATTAATTCATGCTAAGAATTAAGGTTATTACTTTGAATTACATCTTATTTATATATACCTGTTAATAGATATGTATCAGTGTTTCACAAAAACAGGAAACAGAATTCATCATTCTATTTTGATTTACTTCCACCAAGACTGAATTTAATATTCTATTAAGAAAAGTGAATTAAAAAGGTGATATTTAAAAGTTCCTGGAATTTATGCAGGTGCCTAATTGCAGACACAGTACAATTTTAGATGGTTTTGGGTGTCTTTGGGCAGATACCAAAAACTGCTAAATACTACAGAAGACCTATGAGACACATATGTCCTTTTAGAGAAGCAGACACATGGCAAGGATATCACAAGGTGTTGAATCACAAGGTGATTGTGGATGCCTGAGTTTAGACAGCTGAGTTCTAACCCTTTTCTTCTGCTGAGGGGTGACTGTAGTAGTATGTGGTCCTGCTTATGATCATGTTCATAACTGTAATTGATTTTCAAAATCCTGAGACAACTAAGTCAAAATATGTGTCCTGAAAAGTGGAATTTAAATTGTTTTGCAGACGTTTCTACTAGTATTTTAAAAAAAAACAAGGAGGAGGGGGGAGAAGCACGGACCGTCTTAATTTGTTCAGTATCTCATTCTGCATTTCCAGAGTCACAGGAGTAGATTGTAGCGGCATTAAAATAATTCTGGGATTTGTTTTTTTAAATGTCTTTAAAATATAATGGATTTTTATGATGTTATAATAATAACTTTGATGCTATCAAAGTATTGCTGAGATCTTTTAAGAACTTACTATTTCCCAATAGTTTTTGTTTCCAAAAACACATCCAAAGATAAGAAATGTGTACTATTATTTAGTATTATTTTTTGTAAGTATGTAATTTTTATTAGAATTAGGTGAACATTTTCAGATCAAACATTTCTCTGAAATTAATTCACTTTGACTAATCAATGAAAATGTGTTGCTTGCTCTTAAAATCTTAAGAAAAACAGGCTTCTTGATCAGAAAAGATAAATCTTTGTCAGTTGTCACAGAACTAGATTTTTTTCATGGCTTCAGACTTCCAGGATTCAGGAGTATTTTCTAGCTAGCTGCTCACTCTTCTTCAGTAGACTTACAGGAATCTGGGATTTTACAGCTCCAATTTCTACTCCCTGTCTCCTTGGCAAGCTTGGCAACAGCAAAGCTAAAGCTCACGTGCCTTCTGCGACATGAGTCGCTGTAGTTGCCTCTCCCCATCTGCCCACCCACCTCAGATTTAGACATGTGTGCAAACACATGCGTGTATGTGCATACATGCAGACACACAAATGTTTCCATAGGAGGCGTCCTGTGGTTATTTCACAAATACTGGTTTAGTCCTCAAAGTAGGACATTATTAATGTTTGTTAGGAACCACAGGAATTCTGTTTGATTTAGAAAATTGATCCAATACGTTTGTTTTGATTCTAGTAAAAGGAAGGAAGACTGATGACAGTGTATGCAGAGAACTATTTTTGTTCTAAGTTTTGAAAATGTCAGCATTAACTAAAATTCCAATTTGTCAGTCAGATGTATTTAGCTTATATTCCTCAGAAACTAATGATTTTCTTATAATAGAATATTGTGTGCTTACGCATGTGTTGAGTGTGTGTATATGTTTTATTAGCAAAAAGAAATTATTTCCAAGAGATTAATGGAATTTTTACACCTAGATTAAAAAATATGCAAGAAAGCTTGTCTACGTAGTGGATTTTTAACATATTTCTGTACAAAACTCTTGTTAAAAAAATTATTTTACAGAATTTACTCAACGCACTTCAACTGGATCCTGATGAAACAAAAAAAGCACTTGCAGAAAATAATAGAAAAATAACTGTTTTACGAGTTAATGAAAGGTCACTAACAAGGCAGTATACTACCTTACTTGAAACGGAACGGCATCTTAGAAAAGAAAATGAGAAACTAAAGGGTGAAATAACAAATATGGAGACTGCAGTTATGGGGAAGATTGGAAGCTTGCAACGATTCAAGGTATAGTTTATAGTAGTAATAGTACACATTTTTATTTTTACAATTTGGCCATAAATACACTTTTTTTTAAATGGAGACAGTAATAGTTTCTTGAATCACCCAAATTTTTGTTAAATGCTGCTATAAATTTTGTCAAAACATTCTTTGTATTTAAATAAGCATTATAATACGAAACTTGTCAGTGTTCCCTTCTGAAGTTGCTTCAACAAGTTCTTTTTATTCAAAGTGTCATATGAAACCAAATCTTACTGTTTGGCCTTGCAGGTTGCTAGGGCCTGTATTAACTCATCTTTATAAAATGTGTTTTTGATAGTGCGTTATGATTGAGAGGGAACTATTGATAAAATTACCCAGAGACTTGGAATACCAGAGAAATTTTGTCAATGTCTATTGCAAGCAATTTATAAAGATGGACAGTAATTTAGTAAAATAAACCAGTATCGTGTTCTAAAGCATTATATGAAGTGGTATTCTTTTTCCTTGGAGTAATTTTATTTTTTCTATTTAAAGATCTAGCAGACCTTAGTAACCCATTGTGTTGATTATTTTCATAGGAAATGGCTAGCTTTAAGATTGCAGCTCTGCAAAAAGTGTTGGACGGTAGCGTGCCTTTGTCTGAGCTAGAACTGGCTAATAAGCAGTATAATGCATTAACTGCTAAATACAGAGATATGTTACAAAAAGATAACTTGCTCGTCCAACGGACAACAAACATGGAACACATGGAGGTAATGTTTGCATTGTGTTTGAACCCTAAGGGAAAAAACGCTCTTTATATATTTGTTCTGCATTGTTTTTTGTTCTCATTTAATAGAAAGATAGAACAGAAGACCCAGTGCTAGCACTGCTGGTTGTAACAATTCCATAGTGGGTATGAGATGTTGGACCAAGTCTTACTGTTGGTATTTAATTTTAATTTGCTTACCTGGCATTTTTCAGTGGATTAAGAAACATACACAAAATCCCAGATTTTATTTCAGTAGGCATACATAAAAGCATCTTTGAAATTGTTTTAGTGGTTTTGGTTGGTTGTTTTTTCCCTTTGTTTGTTTGCTTTTTAAGTTAAGTTCTGGGTATGTTCCCTCACAAAGTATTTTTAGTTCCTTGATTTCTAAAACAAGGCTGCAGACGGAATATTTGCTATCATCTTCAGTTTTGGAGGTCATCGGGAAAGTAGAATGAGTGTAAACACTTTCAAAGCTTTCTCTCAAAGTAAGTGCTCTTACTAATTCCTGACTTACTGGAATGAAACATTCAGTTCCAAAGGTAGTTAAGCTTTGGAATTTTACTTCCATAAAAAAGGTAAATAACCAAAGGTTGTTCACAATGTGTTTGCAAAATGTCATAGGGACTGCAAATATATGACTATTCCTTTGAATTTTTATTCTCAAGTAGAAGAGAGTTTCTTTTCAAGTACTGTGAAGCTGGCTTCCAAGATACATTACTACCTCCCACTTTTCATTCATGACAGAAATAATAGCCCAAGAAAGTAGTAGTTTACGCAGTAGTTAAAACTCTTTTCTGTTGGATTTCTGGGCTTGACAAGGTGGGTGGGTAAACTTAATGACCAATGTGGTGGGTAAACTTAGTGGACTATTAATATTAAATTTGTCTGCTTGGGAGCAGGTACATGCATTTGTGTTAGCTAAAGAACAAATGATTCCTTCTCTATTTTATGAAATTTCATGTATATGAAAACTCTCATTGCTTATTTCAGCAGTTTCACAGAGCTAGACAATAGTTTATCAATACCAAACTAAAATTGTGTTTAGAAAATTAGAAATTGAAAAATAAGATTAAGTACTCAATTTGCATTACTGGTTAATGTGGAAATTTGTGTTTCTATTTGGAGGAGTGAAGGAACATGTAGAAAACTAATGTTTGGCATCATATTAGATGCCTAAATGAGCTAAAAGAAGCGTATGATCTGTCTCGAACATGTATGTATTGTGCAAGATGGAGTATCCTGTGCAGGATGAAATATTCTCCAGAAGTACTTTCTTTCCAGCTGTTAATGGGGTGTTTAGTATGACAAGCATAGACTTCTTCATCTAATTCTTGACACTCTAGGAATCACAGTCACTGATGATGAATATTCACAGTAGTACTAGTTGAGAGTTAGATACAATATAGAGAGCAAAGACTAGCATTTTTACGCTTAGGAGGAAACTTAAGCTCTTCTGTTGCCATACAAGTAGGTTATGGGTTGTGCATGAATCTGTTAATTTAAAAGATTTTATAGATACTAAACATCAAGTCTGCTACAGTTAAATAGTTTGCTGTTATGTTGCAACTTTTTTGTCATACAGCATGAGAATAAATCCTTGAAAGCACAGATAAATTTATTGAATAAAGAACTGGAGATCACGAAAGAGAAACTTCACACTGTAGAACAGGCTTGGGAACAGATGACTAAACTCGGCAAGTATTAAAGTTATATTGCAACATTAAAAATCAAATGGGATGTCCTGTGTAAAAGTAATAGTTTAAAATGCTTTTAAATTTATGTTTCATAACCAAAAAAAAAGGTAAACACTTAAATTTTTTTTGTGAATTTTTTGTTTGTTTAATTTTACTTATCTATTTGACCATAACCAAGTTTGGTATCTTCCTCTGGAAACTGTTCAATGTTGACTTTTCTTGGGTTACTGGGTCAGTGTTTTAAAAGCTGGAACTTGTAAAGCAACATCACCTGATTATTTTTTTTTTAATAAGGTGCAATATATTCTAACTTAATTGTCATAGTCAATTGTCATGTCAAAGTACTTCATAAGTTGTCAGAAAAATTACTTTTTTTTCCTGTTTCATGCTCTGTAAGAAAGTATTTTTTCTTGATAGCTGGGGCTTCTTTGTGGACAGTTTACATTGCCATTATTCCAGAACTCATCCACATCTATTCCTTTTACAGATTTTAAATTAAATTTCCTGAAGATTTACCTGCTGAATTAAGGATAAAGTGAAAGGCTACATTGAAAGTAGTTATCAGTCTCAATAACCATGGTCACAGATATACACATGTATAATTGATAATAATATTTTATTCAAATATGTAATAACAAACATGTAATAAGGCAAGATAACTATGCCTGCAGTTTAAAGAAATAATACAGGTGTTTTGATAAAGTTTATCTGACAGAGATAAAGCAAAAGTCATGTTCTGTTTCATGGTGCAAATAATTTTCATAGTTGAATCTGTTTGTGTATTCCCTAATTTAAATATTTTTTTAATACAGGAGATGACAATGCCTTGGACAAGGCCACAAAAGCTATAACTAACAGTGAGATTTTGTCCATTTCTAAGAAAATCACGATGTTGGAAATGAAGGAACTAAATGAAAGACAGAGAGCAGAACATTCACAACGAATGTATGAACACTTAAGGAACACTGTAAAGCAAATAGAAGAACGTAATTTTGAATTGGAAACAAAATTTGCTGAGGTAGATCTGTTGAAGTTTAACGACATAATCTAACACATCTTAAAAGCATATTTTTGAGCTTTTCAGAAAGAATCTGTTTTGTATCACGACTGGCAAATAAGCTTATGGTGCAAAATATAGCTGCCTTTAAGAGGTGCAATTTTGCATGCACAGGACATTTGTAAAAAATATAACTAATTTGTCAGTAGTTTATTTCAAACATTAGTTAATCTCTGTAAAATGCATGACAAGCATCTTAACACATAGTTCGCTAGTTTTTCAGCAGACTGCTAGAAAAAAGTCTGTTCTTGACCTGTTGTTTCTTGTATTTAATTCAAATGATCATTTTTCTGCTAATTTTCCCTTAATTACCAATGATTAAAAAAATGTTAGACCTTTGCATCCCTTTTGCAAATGATAGTGTCACAATTCTGTTACAGACTGGCTATGTTCTCTGTCACATGGCGAACATTACCTATAATACAGGAATAGAAGACAAGTCATGTGCCATTGAAGTGCCATCCTCAGTACTCCTGTCATATCAGTCTTAATCTTGATAAATTATTTTGTCCCGACTATTCATATTTGAAGTTTGTTCCATAAATTCATTATTTAATAGTAGGAGACCTTTTTATAATTTCCAGTCTAAATTTATTTATAGGCAGTTGTACATGTTTGTTCTTGTGCCAGTATTGGCCTATAATTTAAACACAAGGGAAGAAGAAGAATAGTTATGTTGACGGGAATGTTGACAGATTGCATTCATTTCCACCTCCTTGTGCTTTGCTAGACTTTAGCCTAACTGTTTAGATTGCTGTTTTCTGGAGTCCCCATTTCTCTGTTGTTTTAGTAATATTTGTCACACTGTTTTGATTTGAATTAATTTGGGACATGGAGTAGCTGAAAGTGTATAAAGCTTGTCAGCAGTGTATTGTTAAAGACTTTTTTGATGGCATGACTTCGTTTATTTCATTAAGAAATACCTCAGGTGATGCACCCTAGGATCACATTTCCCTTTTTCTCTTTTGCATATATTATTATCTGTCCTGTGATACATTTAGGTCTGATGGTCTTCCTTCACTTTGAGTTGATGAACTCCTAATGCCACAATTTTTTCATGTTTGTTCCTCCGTACATCCCTTTTTTCCTTATTTCTGTAGCTCTAGGACATATATTTTCTGTTTCATAAACTCCTGTTGTCAGTGCCTCCTAATCTGGCATCACTGCTTGTTTTATATGTATGTATATATATAACAAGATTGTGCTAAGGTAATCAAAGAAAATTGTGATACCAGTTTAAGAACTGATATATAGAAGTCTACTAGACATCTCCTCCTAAACTCATAAATCTACTTCAACATTACTGTTAGTTCTGCAGATAATATGGCTTACTCGGTAACATTGGTTACTCAGTATTTAATAATCGACTTGAAAAATCAGACTGCTTGAAAGAATATCCCTTAATTATGAAAGTTCTTTTTTTAGAAAGAACAAAAGAACTATACTGTCACAAGTCTTATGGCACTTATAACCTGTATTTGTGTTACAAATCCCTATATAGTAGACAGTATATAAATATATAAGTAAGACTGTTCATTTCCTGAAGCATTTAGAGACTTTTTCTGTTTATATGTTCCTATGTGTATGCAATGCTGCAAACAAAAAGACATTTAAGCAGAGAGGAAAGGAAATGTGGGGTTTTTTTAACACAGCTGAACAGTGTTTTGTAATGACTAAAAAGAAAAGATGCTTTTGGCACTGCTTTTTTCTTTGCAGGGTTGGGAGCAGTTGTGTGCTTAGGATTCCATTTTGTTTGTTTCTGGTTTTGTTTTTTTTAAGCTCACCAAAATCAACCTTGAGGCACAGAAAGTGGAACAGGAATTAAGAGATGAACTGTCAAAGAGTGTAAGTAAGGCAGTAAGCGATGCAGACAGACAACAAATCATGGACCTAGAGAAGCGTGAGATGGAACTCAAGCTTGAAGTATCAAAGTAAGTGTTGAAGTAACAGATTTCAAATGCAGTATATTCAGAAGCATGCAAAAATTAGGCTATATAGGTTTATGTAATACACTACTTACGTATTACTAATGGATAATTTTCAATGCCTAATTTTTTTGGCATTTATATATGCCAAATTTGGAATTGAAAATGTAGCATTTAATCCATGACCATAAAGAAAGTAATTTGCTTCATTTTGATTTGAACAAGGAGTTAAGTGGTTCCTGTGGTGCCCTGGATAGACATGAGTAAGTGTGCACTTAAATACTTATTACTAGTATTTTTAAACTAATTAATTAAGGTTTATGTTGTTCCTGTGCCACAATCTCCCTTAAATGGATGAAAATCTCATAAGTTGAAAAGCAATTCTTACTTTCAAAGAGTCATAGATATCTCGAAGATTAAACTGCAGTGAGGTTTTTTTGCCATTTACTTAAGAGATTAACTTTGTATGCATAAATTGAAAAAATGACCTTTTCTGATATGTTGATATGGACATTTGCCTGACTAAATAATGTAATCCTGTCATATTCCTAAACCAGCAAAGTCTGTGGGGATATTTGCAGTGATTTTTGACACTGAAAATGAGTGATTAGACTTGGGGAAACAGAAGGGAATTCACAATGAAACTTCTTGAGCATTTATGTCCTGAGGTGGGAGAGAAATAGAGGACAGAGATGCTTAGTTCAGGTAAAAACCATGGCATTGTTTTCCTGGAGTTGGTTACTGCTAGCAAATTTCTGTATAACATACAGGAAAATGTCCTGTGAAAAAGTTGAGAGGCAATACGGAATAATTTTCATAAAAAGGACTCTGAGTAGTAGAGGAGAGTATGCTGAAAAGAACAAAGTCTTCAAATGTTTTGATATGAGGAAACATACTAAACATCTTTTTGTAGTATCTTCTGTGTAGAAAAACGTAATAGGTTATTCAGTGGTTTCAAGTGACACAATATTCTTGTTTTTCCTGCAAGGTTAAGAGAACTGTCAGATGTAGCAAAAACACAAGTTGAAGCTCTGGAGGCACGCCAGCAATACAGAGATAAAGAAGTGGAATCTCTTAGAATGCAAATTTTAGACTATCAGGTAAAATTCAGCCTTTACTAACACTGCAGTTTGGAATTTTTTCCCTGGAGTGAGAAGAAATGAAGTAATTTTACAGTGAATTAGGAACCTGCAAAAGCATTTCAGAAGGATCTTAGCAAGCTGGTCCTTGTAGTATACATATCCTTTCAAGATTTCTGTATTAATTATTCCCTTCTCCATTTTTCCATTTCTAGCTGTACAGCTATTACAGATCCTGAGCTTTTTTCCATGTTATTTAGGTAATATTTATTCCTATATGATTAGTAGCTCATGGTCGATATTTAGTATCAGGAAAGTTTGATCATTTTTTTATAAGACAGGCATGTTCTAGAAATGTTTGAATCCCTAAATACAGCACTTTTGTCAGCTTTTATGCTATCATATTATCTAAGTGTAGGAATACATTTTTACCTCATTTCCTGGTGTTTTGAAAAGATACAGTTTTTAAGATCAGTATCTGAAAATGTGTACTTTTAAAATTTGGCTGTAGAAACAATAGTGGAAAAAAAGCTGGATTTAGAGGCTAATTCTTGCTCTTATCTATGGAATAAAATACATGCAATATATAAAATATAAAAAACCCCCACCTTGTTTATATTTACATATACACTGCATTAACATATTCAAAATTAAAAATAAATTTGTTCTATATATTTTGTTCTTAGGCACAGTCAGATGAAAAATCAGTTATTGCAAAACTACATCAACATATCATAGCCCTTCAAGGTAGTGAATCTGTTGCTGTGGGCAAATTGGAGATGCTTAAATCGAAATTACAGAAGATGGAGATTCATAATCTACGTTTAGAGCAGAAGCTTGATGAGAGAGAACAAGCCTTGTATTTTGCCCGACTGGAAGGAAGAAATAGAGCCAAACATCTGCAACAGACAGTTCAGTCTTTGCGGCGACAGTTTAGTGGTGCTCTGCCTTTAGCACAGCAAGAAAAATTCTCTAAAACAATGATTCAGCTACAGAATGACAAACTGAAGATTCTGGAAGAAGTTCAGCATGCCCAGCAGGAGCGTCGAAGTGCAGAAAACAGAGCATTAGAGATGGACTTAAAACTGAAAAGTTTAGAAGAATTAGTAAGTGCATTGAAGGATACAAGAGGAGCTCAAAAGGTTTGCTATTTTGCAACTTTGAATAGCTTTGTTCATCTGATCTGCATTTGAATTACATTTCAATTCAGCTTGTTCCCTACGTCCGTTTTAATGTAGAACTTAATGATTTCAAAATACACTTTGTTAGAATATGACAGCTATCATTTTTTTGTTTCCTATTTTAAAAAAGTAATACATCATTAGTTATTTGTCCTGTAAAAGTCAGCACAATCAGATTTACTAATTTTCTTTTGTGCCCAGTTAAGTGGCATAGAAAGTAGAAGCTAACTATTAATTCAGTTATATTAAATTGAATTAAATTATGAATTAAGTTGAATTAAATGCAGAGTAGCATTCTGAAGTTCTGTTCCATGAGCTTGCACTTAAATCTTCACTACAAATCCACGTCATCTTAAATAAATCATAGAATCATAGAATGGTTTGGGTTGGAAGGGACCTCAAAGATCATCTAGTTCCAACCCCCCTGCCATGGGCAGGGACACCCTCCACTAGGCCACGTTGCCCAAAGCCTCATCCAACCTGGTCTTAAACACTTCCAGGGAGGGGGCATCCACAGCTTCTCTGGGCAACCTGTTCCAGTGCCCCACCACCCTCACAGTGAAGAATTTCTTCCTAACATCTAATCTAAACTGACTCTCTTTCAGCTTAAACCCATTACCCCTTGTCCTGTCACTACCCTCCCTGATAAACAGTTCCCTCATCATCTTTCCTGTAGGCCCCCTTCAGGTACTGGTAAGCTGCAATTAGATCTCCCCAGAGCCTTCTTTTCTCCAGGCTGAACAATCCCAACTCTCTCAGCCTGTCTTCATAGGAGAGGTGCTCCAGCCCTCTGATCAGCTCTGTGGCCCTCCTCTGGACTCGCTCCAACAGCTCCATGTCTCTCCTGTACTGGGGCCCCCAGAGCTGGACGCAGTACTCCAGGTGGGGTCTCACAAGAGCAGAGTAGAGGGGCAGAATCCCCTCCCTCGACCTGCTGGTCACACTTCTTTTGATGCAGCCCAGGATACGGTTGGCTTTCTGGGCTGCAAGCGCGCATCACTGGCTCTTGTTGAGCTTCTCTTTGATCAATACCTTCAAGTCCTTCTCCTTAGGGCT